TCCCACGTCCTCGGCCCTCCCAAACGTTAGATTACAGGACGTACAGACCACCATTGCCAACCCAGACCACCTTCTCCCAGTGGGTTTCCCTCAGTCTTGAAACCATTCTTGCAAAACCACTGTGCCTGGGCACAGCCACAGGGGAGGTTTGCGAGGAAGGACCAGGCCCAGATTTTCATGAGTGAACTAGGGACAAAATTTTGGAAACACCACAGATTTCTAGTTCCAGTGGTTCTTCTGTTACATGTGCTTCACGTCACCAACTCTGTGGCACTGGTGCCGTGTTACCGATGTCCATTCTCTGGGAACATCTCCTGAGGGCAGTGAAGGCTGGGCTGTTCCTGCCCTAACTCTTAAAGCACCTTCTCGCACTGATGTGACATTCAGGTAGAAACACACCAAAACCAGCGCACACACAAGGAGGAAGCAATTCTAAATTTAGTTCTAAGGGGAAAATCCAGGCTGGGTGCGGTGGCTCACGACTTAATAATCCTAGTACTCGTTTGGAGGCCAAGGCGGGCGGATCACCTGGGTCAGGAGTTCGTTCCAGCCTGACCCAATATGGAAGTGAACACCTGTCCTTCACTAAAAATACAAAATTCGCAAGCAAGGTAGGTGCATCCTCTAATCTCAGCTACCTCTGGAGGGCTGAAAGGAGCGAAGAAATGCATTTGAACCTGGGAGGCGAGTTGCAGTGAAGTTGAGATCGTGCCATTGCCACTCCACGGCCTGGGCAACAAGGAAGCGAAACTTTGTCTCAAGAAAAACGAAATAAAATGCCAAAGGGAGCTTCCCATTACAAACACAAGCTCAACTGCTTTGGGCACATTGTTCCCAGTTGCTATGGTGTGTACAAATCCCAAAATTTAGCTGGTTAAGACAGCATTGCATTAGGCGTGGGGCTCCTGTAGATTAGGGACTCTTACAGGACACAGTGGGACTGGCTTGTCTCTGTGGACATCGAGCTGGGGGCATCAGCTGGGAAGAGTCCAGATCTGGAGGTCACTTGGGTGGCAGGAGTAGTCTGAGGGCATCCGACTCACAAGTGTGGCAGTCGATGCTAGGCTGTTTGTGGGGATCTCACTAGGGCAGACAGCTGAAGAAGGTTCTCATGGGTTCTCCTTGTGGCCTCACAGCCCCGCAGCCTCTGGATGAGGGATATAGTGTAGGCATCTTTTGGAACTACAGTCTGCCCCTGCATCCTCCCCATTGGTCCTGTTCAGGGCCTGTTCATTCATCATCCCAAGGTGATGGCGATGTCTCTTCACTTTTCTCCATTTCTGCCTCAAATTTCCTTCAGATGTCCTTTAAAACTCAGTCTACTTGTCTGTATTAGAGAAAAGGGGTGGGGGGAAAGGGAGACAAACCAAACACTTTTTTTTTTTTTTTTAAGAGATGGGGTCTCACTCTGTCACCCAGGCTGGAGTGCAGTGGCACATGTTGGCTCACCACAACCTCCAACCCCCTGCTCAAGTGATTTCCCACCTCAGCTCCAGATAGCTGGGACTACAAGTGCATGCCACCGCCTTCTGGCTAATTTCATGTATTTTGGTAGAAAGGGGATTTCACCATGTTGGCCAGGCTGGTCTCAAACTCCTGAGCTAAAACAATCCATCCACCCTGGCCTCCCAAAATGCTGGGATTACAGGTGTGAGCCAGCACGCCCAGCCCAAACACCATTTAATAGGAAAAATGGATATACTGTGGTATGTGTCATCCAATGGGTGGGAAACTGGCAATAGAATGGACTGAATTAGACTCCTATGTATCAAAAGGATCGATCTCCAAAACAAAAGTTTGGTGGGAAAGAAAGCATGTTGTGAAAAGAAACAGACGGAGTGGTTCTAACACAGAGCTTGGGACTCTGGAGCCTGAGACCTGAGTTCAAATCCTGCTCTGCCGGTAAGTAATAAGTATTAGTGTTAGGTTTAAAATCATGACAAACAAGACACATGTCCATGATACATGGATACACACATATGTACATGATGAAACTATAAAGTCACTGCAGGCCGGGCACGGCGGCTCACACCTGTAATCCCAGCATTTTGGGAGGCCAAGGTGGGTGGACACCTGAGGTCAGTTCCAGACCAGGCCTGGCCAACCATGGCGAAACCCTATCTCTAACTAAAAATAAAAAATTAGCGGGTTGTGGTGGCACCGCACCTGTTATCCCCGCTAACTTGGAGGCTGAAGCAGGAGAATCGCTGAACCTGGGAGGCAGAGGTGCAGTGAACCAAGATCACGCCACTACCACTCCAGCCTGGGCAACAAAGTGAGACTCCGTCTCCAAAAAAAAAAAAAAAGCCACTGCATAGAAATGATAACACACCAAACTCAGGCTGATGGTTTCCTTTGCAGCAGGAGAGAAGAAGATAGAATCAGGCAGGGATAGACAGGGGGCTTCAGTTGTATCTGTACTTTTTTACTTAAAAATGATTGTGAACAATCATGGTGGTGTTTTATTTCCTGTGGCATCTTTTCAAGCTCCTCCTCCCAGCACCCTAGCACTGGCACCCAGATTTGGTAGATTGACCCGGTTTCCTCTCCCTGGCATGGTGGTGGAGAATGTGTCAGAATTTGGAGCCAGCAGAGCTGGATGTGGGTCCTGCTGCTGCCATGTCCTCGGTGAGCAAGGTCATCCCGCCTTAGAGCTCTGGGGATGATCCAAGTCACCTTTGAGGGCTGCTCTGAGGATTTGGTGAACGGAGAGTTTTGTGAACTGGGAGGGGCTTGCAGAAGTTAGCTCATTCCACTGCGGGCTGCAGGCGTGGCAACTGGCAAGAACAAGTGAGGCCAAGTGGCTGTCGCACCACAGGGAGTCGTAGGGACTGTGGTCTGGGGAGGGTGTGCCCTGTCTGAAGGGGTGGCCGCTCCTCAGCCCAACTAATAGGTGCCAGGAGGCACTCTGGGTTCAGTGATAGCTCAAGGGAAGCCAGCCACCTGGATTTTTGTGGGAACAGTTCCCTGGTTTTTGCTCTGGTCTAACAAAGCACATTTAGGCCAGTGACACCCACGGCCACTTTCAAGAGACTCCAGAGGGACACATTGCTGCGTACCCTTCCTCAAACCCCCTTGGCAGCACCTCCCTGGGCCCTGCAGTGCCAAGGTCCTCAGATCATGACCTTTATCCCCACCCCCAACCGCAACCCCAGCGAAGGAGAATGGGATTTCTACTGGTGCGACGTCAGCTGGCTCCGGGAGAACTTCGACCACACCTACATGGACGAACACGTGCGGATCAGTCACTTCCGGAACCACTACGAGGTAAGCTGGGCAGGCAGGAGGGGACCGAGCCAACCAACTCATGTCACTGGGTGTGGCCATGAGCTGGAGCTGGTACAAGGATCAGAACAGAAAAGTATATTGGAAAAGTGTATTAGAATGTGGGATGCAACGCCAGGTGGGGAGTATGAGGGCTAGACCTATGGAGAGCCAAATGGTTTGGGGGTATAGGGATCTAAGGCCTGAGGATTGGAGGTCACAGGTTGGTTGGAGTTTCAGCACCAAGATTTGAGGAGCAAGCTGGTTTGAGGGTGCAGGGTCTGAAGGGAGAGGATGTATGAATGATTATGGTGATTTCAGGGTGGAGGCAAGTTGAGAAGTTTGGGGTCTAAAGATGAGAAGGAGGTCCAGAAGGGACAGGACTGGGGGAGGCTGTGGTGAGAGATTTTTAAAGGTTAGTCTAGCTTAGTGGTTAGAAGCATGAAATTTTTTTTTTTTTTTTTTTGAGATGGAGTCTTGCCCTTGTCACCCAGGCTGGAGTGCAATGGCACGATCTTGGCTCACTGCAACCTCTGCCTCACGGGTTCAAGTGACTCTTCTGCCTCAGCCTCCCGAGTAGCTGAGATTACAGGTGCTCACCACCACGCCTGGCTAATTTTTATTAGAGATGGGGTTTTGCCATGTTGGCCTGGCTGGTCTCGCACTCCTGACCTTGTGATCCGCCTGCCTCAGCCTCCCAAAGTGCTGGGATTACAGGTGTGAGCCACTGCGCTCAGCCAAAAGCATGAATTTTGGAATCAAGACAGGCCTTGGTCAAATCCTGGTCAAATCCATAGCTTCGTTGGATAGCTATGAGCAATTGACTTAATCTCTCTAAGCCCCAGTTTCCTCATCTGTGAAATGGGGAAATTCTTGACTAGCAAGCTCTTTCTGGGTCAAAGTTACTCTTACTGTTGCTATTTTGTGGGCCAGAGCATGGGGGCTGCAGGGTGGCTGGTGGATGTGTGTGGCTGGGAGGGGAGCAGGGCTGCGAGCAGGAGCTAATGGCTGCCTGTCCTTCCCGCCACCCAGCTGACCCGGAAGAACTATATGGTAAAGAACCTGAAGCGGTTCCGGAAGCAGCTGGAGCGCGAAGCGGGAAAGCTGGAGGCAGCCAAGTGCGACTTCTTTCCCAAAACCTTTGAGATGCCTTGCGAGTACCATCTTTTTGTGGAGGAGTTTCGCAAAAACCCAGGAATCACCTGGATCATGAAGCCTGTGAGTGCCCAGTGCCCGGGGCTGGTGGGAGGGAACAAGTCCCAGGCACCAGAGCAGGGATCAGATGCAGACACTGTCTGGGAATGCAGCCTTAGATGCAGTCTGCCTTCCCGAAGGGCCAGCTTTAGCTCCTCTTCTCTGCAGTGTGTGGACCCAGCAGCTATGGCTGCCGGCACACAGTAGGTGCTCAATGAGTGTTTATTGAATGCAGAAGTGATCAAAGCCCTCTTATGTTTCCAGGCCTGAGAATGTTCCAGGCCCCAGGGAGGGAGCGGGAGGGAGGAGGGAGCAGACCTTTCCTGTGGAGCTGAAGACTGATGTTGGCTGATGCAGATTTAGCCAATAACACAGGTGCTTGGAGGGCAACTGACATTGGGCTGACAAAAATAATGGATGCTCCCAATGGGCACGGAGCCAGGGTGTACCTGCCTCCCAGGTTCTTCCCCTGGCCCATCCTGCCTCTCCTGTGTCCAGGGAAGACAGTGAGGAAGGCTGTGGCTGCAGCAGTAGGGATTAGGCTGATGCGCACGGAGTTCTGTGACCCACCGGGGCGGATTCCAGCTCCCAGCATTATCCTCTCAGACAAATGGTAATTTGTGCTAATTGGGAACAGCACTTGCATATTAAATTGATTCCATTCCCAGCCCACAGCCTTTGTTAGCAGCAGACACAACGGCAGCTACAGCTGTAATTAAGAGGAGGCATCTTGGCTCTGTGTGTCTGTGCGTCTGTGTGTGTGTGTCCTGTCTCCCAAATCGTGAGGCACCCTGTCTGGGGAGTGGAGAGTGGGTGCTTCTGTGCTTCTAGTCATTTCTGGCCTGGGTTCTAATTCTGTGTCCACTGTTTACAAGCTATATGACCCTGAGCAGGTCACCCAACCCCTTTAAGTCCCTCTGGGCTCATTTCTTCATCTGTAAAATGGAATTAATGAGTGTGTCTACCTTACAGGGTTGTGAGAGAATTCAGTGAAGTTACACACATTCAACACATGAATTATACAAGTTATATCAAGGGCTTGGCATTAAGTGCCTGATAATTGACCACTGGTATTTCCAAGAGTCCAGGAAACACTGTCTCTTCGCTGTGTCCCTGGGAAAGCACTAGGTCAGTGTTTCTCAAACCCTAGAGTGCCCGTGCAGCATCCAGGGACCTGGTTCAATGCAGAGCCTGATTCACAGGTCTGGGTGGGGCCTGGGAATGTGCATTTCTACCAGCTCCCAGGACCTGCCAGTGCTGCTGGTCTGTGCATACACTTTCAGTATCGAGATTGTGGAGCAGCGGTTCTCAAACTTGAGGATGCAACAGAATCTCCTGAAGAGCTTGTTCAAGCATCCCACCCACCACCCCAGAGTGTCTGATTCAGTCGGCCTGGTGGGGGCCTGAGAATTTGCATTTCTAGCAAGTTCTCAGGTATAGCAGTCAGGGTTCTCCAGAGAAAGGAAAGCATGTGTGTGTGTGTGTGTGTGTGTGTGTGTGTGTGTTTAAGGAATTGGCTCATACAATATTGTGAGGGTTGGCAAGTCTGAAATCTGCAGGGCAGGCCAGCAGGGTGGAGCTTCAGGCAGGATTTCTATGTTACAGTTTTGAGGCAGAATTGCTTCTTTTTCAGAAACACTCAGTTTTTACTCTTAAGCCCTCAACTGATTAAATGAACCCCCCCGCCCCATGCTATCAAGGGTGGTAACTTAAAATTAATGATTACAGGCCGGGCGAGTGGCTCATGCCTGTAATCTCAGCACTTTGGGAGGTCAAGTGGGAGGATCGCTTGATCCCAAGAGCTTGAGACCAGCATGGGCAACATGCAAGACTTAGTCTCTACAAAAAATACAAAAATATTAGCTGAGTGTGGTGGCATGTGCCTGTAGTGCCAGCTACTTTGGGGGCTGAGGTGGGAGGACCGCTTGGGCCTAGGAGGCTGAGGCTTCAGTGAGCCGAAATCATTCCACTGTACTCCAGCTTGAGTGACAGAGTGACACCCTATCTCAAAAAAAGCTAATAATTACAGATGTTAATCACATCTACAAACTACCTTCAGAGAAATATCTAGACTAGTATTTGACCAAGCAACTGGGCACCATAGCCTAATCAAGTTGACACGTAAAATTAACCATCACCCCAGGTTCTGAGGGTGCTACTGGTCTGAGTACCACACTTTGAGAACCACTGGGTTTCAGTATTAATTCCGGGATCTTATTTGGATTCCGTTCAGGAGGAGAGAGTGTTAAAAACAGAACATTGCCCTAAATTTGGAGAGTAGAGGGAGAAGAGTCCCCCCAATCCCTCCACTCTTCCCATAAGGCCTGTCTTTGTGACATGGTTGATCTTTGCCCACCCACAGGCGAAAGTTTTCACATAGTTGCTGTGGCCCGGCCAGTCACAGGGCAGCCCTTGGGCATCTCCTCTGCATTGTCTTCCTGGTGTCTGCCGAGTCTTCATCTTCCTCATCAGTGGCAGCAGAGCAGCCCAGGACTCAGAAGGGAGCAGGCAACATCATCCCCTCTCCACCACCCTGTGGGGACCCTCCTCCCACCAGGCCACAGCCCCAGCCCATCTTGGAGCTCTTAGGGGAATATAAGAACAGACCCAAGAGGGTCTGGCATTTAAATGTCCAGTGTAAACATTGCATTGCTCTTTTTTCCCATGAAAGCATTCTCCCTTGCCAGCAGTTCAGGCTGGCAGGGTTGGTGGGGAGGTGGGCAGGACACTGACATGGGTCATGGGACCACTGTGACTCCAGTATGCCTTGTAGTATGGGGAGGTGGGTGCTTGGCTGTCAGGGACTGGGCCTGTCAGTCTCTCTGTGTGCCCCGCAAGCTGCTCAGGGACAGGGCCTATCTATCTGCTCACCCTGTGTCCACCAAGCTGGTCTAACACTTCACACACCACAGCAAGCGTTCTTGGCAACCAGGGGGCTGCTCTCAGCCTTGGGAGCCTATTTCAAACTGCAAGGCAGGAAGAGCCACATTTTAACATTCCATTACACTAGTTTACCCCAACCAGAGCTTCTCAGAATTTTTCACTGAAACTTTCTAAGAGTTGGGATGATTTGCTTAGTAAATAATAGAAAATCCAAAGAACAGCAGCTTAAACAAGAGGGCAAGACTTCTGTACTGTTTTTATGCCATTGGCCTCTGGAATCTGGTGAAATGTGTGGACCCTATCACAGAATAGTGGTATTTTTTTAACCACTTCATTGAAACATAATTGGCATACAAAAAGCTGTGCATATTTAATGTAGACAGCTTGATGAGTTTGGAGATAAGCATGTACCAATGAAAGAGTTGTGGTTTTAAAAACAGAAAATACAGTACATTTCATTATAAAAGAAGGCAGCTATACTGAAAAGCCATTATCAAACTGTTAGTCTGGGTTCCCCAAGAAACGGATGCCAAGACAAAATTAAACAGTTTGGCTGGTGAGAAAAAATGGGGAGGGAGCTAGCAGGTGAGACTGGGAGAGAAGTCAGGCCTCCAAGGACGGAAAGAAAGAAGAGAGGGAGGGAGGGAGGAAGGAAGATTAGAAGCCTTTGGAAAGTTCATCAAGGCTCCTGGGAGGCCTCAGCCAAAGTTGGCTGTCAGGAGTCCACTGTCTCTCAGGAATGGCTGGTCTTCATGTCCCCTGGGGCTCAGTCACTGACTGGGAGCAGCCCTAGCAAGGCGCTCTGGCAAACACAGCTAGACCTCAACTGGAAGCAGCTGGCACTCTCAGTCAGTTACTCTGTTGGAGGCCTGCAAGGTGCATTGTCATGGGCACCACACAAGCTATTATGAAATTCTTTGTGCTATAGAAATATGTGCGCTTTTCATTAACAATTAAAGAGGATCTAACAGCAGGCCTCACAGCTACCATAATTTTAAAGTCAAGAGGAGCATAAACAATATTTTGAGATATTTGCAACAATTGTAATGTGATATCGAAATCACTGTGATCTCTTTTGATGACAAAGTCACGGGCATGGCTAACACTCCTATGATTTGTTGCATTCCTAATAGAGAGAAATGTGAACATCTGGTTAGGGGTTAATGAAAATAAAGATGAAAAAAAAATTTTTTTAAATTTACCTTTACAAACACTGGGGAATTTTTTGAATGACGAAAAGCCAACTCTAGGGATGGTTTATTGGGTGGCTTAGCAACCCCACCAATTCCCAGCCCAGCAGGCTGGCCGCTTCTCCCGGGCCCCTCTTCACACCTCCCCTGCCTTGGGAATAAAGGAATGCCCTGGCCTCATGTCCTTTTTGAAGAAGACACGCATTTTTCCCAGAAGTCCCTGCAGCAGGCTTCCCGTAGCATCCTGCTGGCCCCTGCCTGAACCAATCACATGGCAATCACCGTGAGGGCTCAGACCGCCCCAGAGGACAGGGCCACCGGGAGGAGTTGGTCCAGATGGGTTCTGTTGGCAGAGGAGAGGAGGGCATGGCTGCGCCACTGGCTGTATTCCACACCCGATGAATGCTACGTGAGGAATGCAGCCCCCAGCGACAGGGCATGGGGTGACAAGGGGACAAGGACTTTAGTTGGCCACAGCTGGCACAAAAATTTATGGCTTATTCTGATAATCCATTCAAATAGTGGTTTCCAATAAAAAATATATCTTTTTATAAAACGCATAATATGGCTGGGCGCCATGTCTCACGCCTGTAATCCCAGCACCTGGGGACGCTGAGGCGGGTGGATCACATGAGGCCATGAGTTTGAGACCAGCCTGGGCAACATGAAGAAACCCTGTCTCTACAAAAAATGTAAACATTAGCCAGGTGTGGTAGTTCCCACCTGTAGTCCCAGCTACTCAGGAGGCTGAGGTGGGAGGAGTGCTTGAGCCCTGAAGGCAGAGGTTGCAGTGAGCTGAGATGGCGCCACTGCACTCCAGCCTGGGTGACAAAGCAAGACCCTGTCTCAAAGAAAAAAGCATAATATAAAAATATTTCCCTCCCAAACCATCAAGTAATAGAGATGTCCCCAGAAGTAGCAATGTTTATCATGTGATTTTGTGTATCCCGGCACTTTGCAAGAGGTATATGAGCCCCAGGTTTGTGTAGCACAGATTTAACTATCTCAGATTTGTCACCTGTTGGCTGGGTGACCTTGGGCAATGTGTTTGGCCTCTCTGTTCACTGGTTCTCTCGGCTGCAAAATGGGGATAACATTAATGTTTATGTCAAAGGTGTGTGTTTTTTTTCAAGCTTTAATGAGGTAACGTGTGTAAATCACAGTGCCTGGCACAGAGTAAACACCTGGTAAGTATTAGCTGCTGGCATTGCCATTGTTATGAACCATTTTACTAAAGTTCGTATTCTGATTATCTATTTCATAGAAGCAAACCACTCCCAGACATAGTGACTTGAAACAACAGTAATGTCTTATTTAGTTCATGAGCCCCCAGCTTGGGCAGCGCTTGACAGGGAAGGCTCATCTATGCCCCAGCATCCACTGAGGGCTGGAAGATCCCCTTCCTAGCCTGCTCACTGGCTGGGCTAGCAAGTAGGTGCTGGCTGTTGGTTGGGAATTCAGCCAGGGTTGAGGGCTGGAAGACTCAGTTGCCTTCCAGGTGGGCCTCTTCGTGTGAGCTGGGCTTCCTCACGGGATGGCTGCTGGGTTCTGAGGGCGACCATCCTGAAAGAGAGAGCCAGGCGGAAGCTATATTGCCTTTTATGATCTGGCATTGGAATGCACACATCACTTCTGCCATAGGCAATTAGCAGAGACACTTCCAGATTCAAGGGAGGGGACATTGACTTTACCTCTTGACAGGGTTCTGGAGAACATATGGGACTAGAAATATTGTCGTGGTTGTTTTTGGAAACTGCCATCTGCTGGATGTATTAGGTGATTTCCTAATCAGTATTAGGTGATTTCCATCTCACCAACCCCAATGTAACACCATGCAGGCACTTCATCTTCCATTCTTTAGGGTTAGTCCCTTAGGAAGGCACCTCCTGTAACAGTCGTGTCGAGTTACTAACAATGGCCTGAACAATAAAGGCATTTTGTTATCTCACAGAACTAGAAGGCTGAGGGTAGGCAGATCCAGGTTTGGGGATGTGCTCCATGATGCCACTAGAGGCCCAGGCTCCTTCTCTCCATCCACTCTGCAGCCTGTGTGCTGGCTTTTTGTCATCAGACTTGTCACCTCATAGGTGTGACATGGCTGCTGCAGTCACAGGCATCATCTCTGCAGACAGTAGCATTCAAAGAAAGAAGGCAGGAGGCCAGGACTTTTCTTCCCGACCCCCTTTCTCCCCAGCTCCTTCCCTAATATTTTTAGAAAGGAGAAACATCTTTCCTGGAATCTCTGAACAAATGTCTCCTTAGGTCTGATTGGCTAAAACTGGTCATGAGGTTTCCACTAACTGCAAGGGAAGCTGGGAAAACCTACATCTGGCCTTTCCAGCCTCCCTCATGAGAGGTGGGCTTTGCTAGCAAGGAAGAAGAAGAAGGAAAGTGGCCATAGGGAAGGCAGCCAATAGGGTTGGAGATAGGGGTTCCTAGATCAAAGAGTATGAACCTGAAAAGATACCTTTTAATTGAAGTTTAATAAACCATAGAAGAGTAGTCAAATTTTAGGGGCGCAGTATGAATTTTCACAAAGTGAATCCACTCAAATAACCAGCACCCAGGTCATAAACAGAGCATTCCCTACCCCTCAGCCACCCTCTTAGACCCCCTTCCACTCACTCACAGCCCCTCAAGGCACTAAACAGCATAGGTTTGCTTTGTCTGCTTTTGGACTTCAATTAATTGGAATCTTATAGGGTGAGTACCTTGTGTCTGGTTTCTCTCCCTTGACATGTTTTGCAGTTCATTCTGCTGTTGTGGGTAATTGTACATTACTGTCATCTTTGTACACTATTCCATTGATTAAATATTCATCCATTGGGTAGTCTCCGGGTGGAGCTATTATGATAGTGCTGCTATGGGTGTCTGGGGCCATGTCCATGGTGACATGTCCAGACATTTCTGTCATGTAGGTCCCTAGGAGAGGAATTTCTGGGACCTAGGATAGAGGATGCCTATGTTCAGCTTTAGCGGATGCTACCAGTTTCCAAACAACATACTCTCATACCAGCAGTGTGTGCAAGTTCCAGTTTCTCCACATCCTCACCAATACTTGGTATTGTCTGTCTTTAATTTAACCATTCTCAGGTAGTATGTAGTAGTATCATATAGTGATTTTCATTAGTGTAAGAATTAAAGAAAGAGGAGAGAAACTCGAAAGGTGGCTCGCCAGTCAAGACAGGTTTATTTTAGAGAAAACAAACCTGAGAGGAGCCTTCTGGCTGAGTTAGGTCAGAGCCACACTTTCTTACAGACTTAAGAGTTTTTTGTTTTGTTTTGTTTTGTTTTAAAGGTGGAGTCTCGCTCTGTAGCCCAGGCTGGAGTGCAGTGGCGCGATCTCGGCTCACTGCAAGGTCTGCCTTCTGGGTTCACACCGTTCTCCTGCCTCAGCCTCCTGAGTAGCTGGGACTACAGACACCCACCACCATGCCCAGCTAATTTTTTGTATTTTTAGTAGAGACGGGGTTTTGCTGTGTTAGCCAGGATGGTCTCGATCTCCTGACCTTGTGATCCGCCCACCTCAGCCTCCCAAAGTGCTGGAATTACAGGCATGAGCCACCGTGCCCCAGCCAGACTAAGAGTTTTTAAGGATTCAGGGTGGGAGAATTTATTAGAGGCTTGGACTGCTTCTGTGTCTCTTTGTTGTGCTTATCTGGGAGGGAGAGTTGTGTGTCTGTTCCCATACATCTTTCTGCAGCTGCAGGCATATCCCCCAAGTCTGCTTTTAGCTTTCTTATCTTAGTGCACCTGAAGGGAAAGGAATGTGCTTATTAAGACCCACTGTTTTACTGGAGTCCATTGTATGAGGGTGAAGTTTGGCAGTTGCCCAAGAGACTTTCCCCCCGCCTCCCTCTGTGCCTGAGCTGTCTTATCTGTGTTTTACTGTCTGCTCTTTCTGGCTGTTCATAGTTAGAAGAGAAGTGATTTCCTTGGAATGCATGAGGTTAGAAAGGGAGCTGGAACTTAAAGTGGTGGTGTTTGTCCGAGATGAGATGACGGTGCTCTTGTTTTGTCAATTAGCACTTCTCTGTTGGTGAACTCTCTGATGAAGTTGAGTGCCTGTTCTTTTCTTTTCTTTTCTTTTCTTTTTTTTAATAAAGACAGAGTCTCATACTGTTGCCCAGGCTGTGCAGTGGTGCAATCCCTGACCACTGCAGCCCTGCTCTCCTGGGCTCAAATCATCCTTCCACCTCCACCTTCCAAGTAGCTGGTACTACCGGGGTGCCCTGTCACACCCAGCTAATTTTTAAAATTATTTTTAGTAGCCATGAGGTCTCAAGGTCTTACTACGTTGCCTAGGCTTGTCTCAAACTCCTGAGCTTAAATAATCCTCCTACTTCGGCCTTCCAAAGTGCTGGGATTACAGATGTGAGTCACTGGGCCCAACCTATTGTATGTTTACACTGGCAATCTTCTTTCATAAAATGCCTGTTCAAGTCTTTTGCAAGGCTGTGAACTGTTGGAAGCTCCTGGTGCACACTGATTAGTTGCTTTCTAAAATTGCTATGCACACTTGGCTGCCCTGAGCCACCACCAGTACTCCATAGAGTTTTTGGCACCCAGTCTTCTGGGCATTCACAACCCTGAACCAGGGTGCACAGCATGGCAGGCAGAGCAGGGGCCCTTTGTGCAGTTAGCAACCTGTACAACCACACTTGACAACCCTGCCTGCCCCTACCTTGTACAGAGAGCCTCGGGTGGGTCAGGTGGGCCATGTTCAGAGGAGAACAGAAGGAAATGAGAGTTTGCAGTTATGCTGGAGGTAAGATGGCTTGGGGGACCTGCTCAGTTGCTGCAAATACCTAAAGGACTCTTCTGGACCCAGGAATCAGCTTTGTTCTAGGAGGTCCTAGAAGCCAAAGCCAGACTGGCCAGTTTTAGCTCAACACAGGTTAGGCTGTGAACGTTCTATGAGGTCTGGGTTATTGCATAAAGCTCAACATACAGTATGCACTTCATATATACCTTTTGGATAACTACTTAACAAAGCTATCCTGTAACAAAATGGGCTGTGTTTGGCGTGGGTTGGGGGAGGTAGTGAGCTCCTAGGCACTGTGGGTGTGCAAAGTCAGGCAGGAGGACTGTTGTCCTTCTACAGTGGTAGAAGGGGAGTAATGCCTTTGTTGAGGACCACTCCATATGAGATCAAAGATTCTGTCAGCCCCTAGACTCTGTGAAGCTATGAATTATCCATGCTGGGTTTCAGTAAAGGCAGGCTGATTTCAGTATTAGCCGAAGCAAACCCTAATTAGGAAGGCAAATTGATTTCCAAAAAAAGAATTGGATAATATGTTCCCAGGACTGTTAGAAATGGCTTTTTAATTGTCTGTTCTTTTGCATTATTCATGCAAATGTATGTCTTTGTGAGCTAAGTCAGTCTGCCTCTTTCCCTCGCTTCCCTCTCTCCCTCTGCCAGGGTTAGCACCTTCTCTGTTCCAGCCCCTTCAGTTAGCCTTCCTCTGGGGAGAGTTGGGGGCTCATAAGGAAAAAGAGACAGATATGCTGGGGAGAGCCTGCAGCCATGGGGGCCAACGAAGAACCATGCAGAGCTAAGAGCTGGCTTTCTGCGCCTACCCCACCCCAGGTAGCCCGGTCACAGGGGAAAGGCATCTTCCTCTTCCGCAGGCTGAAGGACATCATGGACTGGAGGAAGGTGAGCCTGCCTCTTCCCCTTCCTCCCTGAACCCTCCTCTGACCTTGCCAGCAGGAGGGGCCCCTCCTTCCTGCTGTCAAAGCTCAGAGGGCTGGCAGAGAAACTCTGCCCACAGGTCTGCCCATTGGAGCAGGGTCTCCAGAGCCAGATTGTTCAGGTTCAAATCCTGACCTTGCCACTCAATCACTCAATAGCTGTGTGCCCTTGGGCAAGTTACTTCACCTGTCAGTGCCCCAGTAAATGTGGATGGTGATTGTACCTGCTGAGGATGTAGTGAGCTAATAAACACACACACACACACACACATTCTCACACATACCCACACACCCAGCACAGTGCCTGGCACTCAGCGCTCGATGCACATTTTTTTTTTTTTTTTTTTTTGAGACGGAGTCTCGCTCTGTCGCCCAGGCTGGAGTGCAGTGGCCGGATCTCAGCTCACTGCAAGTTCCGCCTCCCGGGTTCACGCCGTTCTCCTGCCTCAGCCTCCCGAGTAGCTGGGACTACAGGCGCCCGCCACCTCGCCCAGCTAGTTTTTTGTATTTTTTAGTAGAGATGGGGTTTCACCGTGTTAGCCAGGATGGTCTTGATCTTCTGACCTCGTGATCCGCCCGTCTCGGCCTCCCAAAGTGCTGGGATTACAGGCTTGAGCCACCGCGCCCGGCCTCGATGCACATTTTTTATCTGGGCCTCCTGCTCACGTGGCTGGGGAGAGTTTGGCTGACTCTTCCTCAGGGCCTAGACTGAGCCTCGGGGGCAGCTCCCTCCCAAACCCAATCCCTTCCTGTCCCAAGACACGGTGCAGTAGAAATCCTGATTCAAATCCTGCCTCTCCCACTCAGCAGATGTGTGGTCTTGGGAAAATGACCAAAGCCCTCTGAACCCTCTGAACCTGAGTGGTGACGATGGTGCAGGGTGGGTGGGAGGAGCAGGATGGCTGAAATCCTATAGGACCGGCCCCTGCTGTACCAGGAGGTGAACAGCAGTGCTCAGTGTCTTGACTCCTCCCATGAAACTGTCAGGGCACTGCAGGGAAGAAGCTCTGCAGCCTGGAGGCCCAGCCTGCTGGAGCACTGTCAGTCCCTCTGGCAGCCACATGAGTGGCTGGGCCCAGGTCCCAGGAAGGCAAAACCTGGCTGCTTCTGTCGTGATACAGCTAAATGGGGAACAATGAGGGGTGGAGCAGGTCTACTCTGAGAGCCAGTGCTGCCTGCCATTGTTGGGGCTGTTGTGTCACCCCATCAAGTGTGTGACCCTTGTCTTTGAGTAAAGGGGACAATAGGTGGGAGAGGCATTTGCAGCCTGTGAGGTGCTGTGCAGATGCATGAGAGCATTGCTGTCTTCCAGAGCTGGGCTGGCAGGTAGAGAAGAAGGAGCAATGTCCTCGGGGGCCCATGGGTGGTGTAAGCAGCACTGTCCAACAGAACTTTCTAGAGGGATGGAAATGGTGGATATCTGTGCTCTCCAATGCAGTGACCACTAGCTACATGCAGGATGTTGAGCGCTTACCATGTGGCTGGTGTGACTGAGGACTGGATTTTTAATTTCATATCCTTTTTAAAAATTGTGGGCTGGGCGTGGTGGCTCACACCTGTAATCCCAGCACTTTGGGAGGCTGAGGTGGGCGGATCACTTGAGGTCAGGAGTTCGAGACCAGCCTGGCTAACATGGTGAAACCCCATCCCACTAAAAAGAGAAACTTAGCCATGGTGGCCTCACCTGTATTCCCGGCTACTTCAGGAGCTTGAGGTCACAATGGGTTGCTGAACCGGGAGGTAGGGGTTGCAGTGAGCCAAGATTTCATGTCACTGCACTCTAGCCTGGACAACAGAGCAAGACTCATTCTCAAAAAAAAAAAAAAAAAAAAAAATTGTGGTAAAATATGTAGCATGAAATTACCATGTTAACCTCTTTTAAGTGTGTGGCTTTGTTACATTAAGTGCATTCACATTGTTGTGCAACCACCCACCCGTCCATCTCAGAATGTTTATCTTTCCTTACTGGAAACTCTGAAATGTTTTTTTTTTTTTTTTTTTTTTTGGAGGACGGAGTCTGCGCTTGTCGCCCAGGTGGAGTGCGTTGCGCGGTCTCAGCTCACTGGCAAGCTCGGCCTCCGGGTTTCAGCCCATTCTCCTGCCTCAAGCCTTCCCGTGAGTAGCTGGACTACAGGCGCTGCCCTCGCGGCTATTTTTTGTATTTCTTTAGTAGAGACGGGGTCTTCCCCACCGGGTTAGCAGGCATGGTCTCGATCTCCTGACCTCGTGATCTGCCATTCGGCCTCCCAAAGTGCTGGGATTACAGGCTTGAGCCACCGCGCCCGGCCCTTGAAACTGTTAAATACAAGCTCCCCATCCCCTTCTCTCCCCAGCCCCTAGCAGCCCCCATCTACCTTCTATCTCCATGAACTCGACTGCTCCAGGCACCTCATCTAAGTGACACCAGACAATATTTGTCCTTTTGTGTCTGGCTTATTTCACTTAGCCTTATGTCTTTGAGTTTCATCCATGCTGTAGCATGTAATTTCATTTACTTTTCATCAAGGTAAATGTAAATAGCCTCTTGTGGCCAGTGACTGCCCTACTGGGCAGCACAAGTCTAGAGGTTAAACACTCAGGCTCTGGGCCCAGACTGTGTGGGTTTACATCCCAGCAACACCACTAACTGGCTGTGAGAACTCGGACAAGTTACTCTCCCTCTCTGTGCTTCTAATCTGTGAAATGGAAATAACATTAGTACTTACCTGATAGTAAGTACTAATAGGGTTGATTTAAAGATCCAATGAGCTACCCCAAGTAGTATCTAACACAATGCCTAATACATAGGAAATGTTCCATAAATAAATGTTCAATTATTATTATTATTACAACTAGGACACAAGAAGCTCTGATGACCAGAAAGATGATATTCCTGTGGAGAACTATGTGGCTCAGCGTTACATTGAAAATCCCTACCTGATAGGAGGTGAGATGGCTGTCTCTGCTCCTGCTCTTCCATTGCATGGTCATCAGTCAGTCAGTCAACAAGCTTTGACCAGCAGCCTGCCAAGGGCCCAGCCTGACACCAGGCATGAAGGGTTGCATGGAAAGAGATGGGTTCTGCAGTCTCCCACCTCCTAGCCATTGCCTGTACAGTTCCCTCTCCCCAGCATGTCCATTCCACTCCCTTCTTGGTTCAGGAAAATTCTCCTCCTTTAAAAACGAACTTATTCATTCATGCATTTATCCAACAAATATTATAAAGTACCTACTTGGTGCCAGCACTGCCCTGAAAACTGGCTACCCCCCAACCCTGCTCTCCTGGAGCTTACACCCCTGATGAGCAGGCTGCAATAAACCAGAAAACAAACCACGGGACGGTCCCATGCAGTGCTGGGTGTTAGGAAGTCAGTCAAGCAGAGCAATGGGACAGAGAGTGACATGGGGGCCAGGAGGTGGACACGTGAGCTGAGACCTGAGTGACAACTATGAGTCACTGTGGGTAGATTTGGAGGGAGGGGAATGCAGGGAGGAGGAATTGCAAAGGCAGAAGGCCCTGAGGTGGAACCCAGCCTCCTGCCCGCAACCTTGGTGGGTTTCCCCAGGCAGGCCAACATCTGCTTTTCTCACTGGGGCTCTGGGAACTACAGGCACATCAGGCATGCGGGACGTCATTGCAATAGTGTTAATGCCAGTTGCCTCCTCCCACGTCCTCTGGCAATTACCTTCCCCAGGGGGAAGTCCCTAGGCCTCTTCTCCTCTCTCCCCCATAGTGATCCCATCCTGTCTGTGGCTTAAACACCACCCAAAGGCCAGTGACTGTCAGCTTTCTGTCCCCAGCCGAGACCTTGCCCCTGAACCCCAGATCCTGATGTCCAGCAGCCTGTGACATCCCTCTTGGGCATCTACCAGCCACTCAAACCCAACACATCCCAAATTCTGCCCTCCCATCCCCCCACCACTCCTCAGCTTCTGTGTCGGGGACACAGCTAGAAGCCAGGAGCCATTCTGGGTGTGTCCCTCTTCCCCCACCACATCTGGTTCTCACCAAGCTCCTACAAGCTCTTGAATCTGCCTGGCCGCTCCTCTCACCTCCACCCTGGGCCCGGCCACCATCCTCTCCCTCCTGGACCACCACACCTGCTCCCTCACTGGCACCTGCTGCTGTTCTGCCCACTTCTCTCCACCTCAGCGTGGCAGCCAGAGGGAGGAGACACCCTTCCATGGCTTCCCATGGTTTGTGAGACAAAACCTCAAAACTGCATGGGCCCTGACCTCTGCCAGCCTAGCCGACCTCATCTCCTTCCACTCTGCCCTTGGCCCGAGCTCTTTCCCCCTCCAGGCCTCTGTTCTCGCAGTTCCTCCTGCCCAAGGTCCTGCACCACTCTGGGCTAGGCAGGCACCTTCACTCCATGAAGGTCACCACTCCCCATGGGGGTCTTTGACCACTGAGTTTCAAGCCTTTCCCCCAAGTTGACCCCCACGCACCCCTCCCCCGCCTCCCGTTATTCTCTCTTTATACCTTGTGCAGTTTTTTTGTTGTGTTTTTTTGAGACCACGTCTCGCTCTGTCGCCCAGGCTGGAGTGCATTGTCATGATCAGAGCTCAGGCAGCCTCCATCTCCTGGGCTCAAGCGATCCTCCTGCCTCAATCTCCAGAGCAGCCGAGACTACAGGTGTGCACCACCACGTGAGGTTAATTTTTTGTAGACACAGTCTCACTATGTTGCTCAGGTTGGTCTTGGATTCCTGGCCTCAAGCGATCCTCCTGCCTCCGCCTCCCAAAGTGTTGGGATCACAGGCATGAGGCACTGCACCTGGTCCCTTGTGTCGTTTCAGTGGGAGCTTCATGAAGGCGGGGTTTCCTGTCTGTCCACTGCTATTTTCCCAAAACCTAGCACAATGTCTGACGATCAATATTTGTGCACAAATTCTTTCTTTGCCTGACAGGCCGCAAGTTTGACCTGCGTGTCTATGTGCTGGTGATGTCGGTGAGTAACAAAGGTGGGGTCCCTCTTCCAGCAGGGGTTAAAGGGTGGCTGGACTAGGGAGATGGGGGGAAGAGGCCTGGGGGTACCTTGTATGAACTTGTCTGGTCTTCTCTGCCTGGGAGAGCCCCAAGGGACATATAGGGATAGGGTGGGGGCAGGAAGACTTATCTGAGGTTTACCATCTTAGATGCCCAAAAATTTAGATTTGCCCTCTATCTGCCCTTCTTTATTCATTCGGTCATCCACAGCAGACATTTATAGAGCACCTACTAAGTACCAGGCCCTGGCACTTAGCAGGTTTTATCTCATTCAGGCCTCCTAACAACGCAGAGAGGCAGGTTCTATTATTATCCTCCCTTTACAATGAGGGAACAGATACAGAGGTTGTGTACCTTGCCCAAAGTCACACAGTTGGTGAGCAGCAGAGCTGGGATTCAAATCCAGGCAGCCTGGCCTCAGAGCCTACTCTCTTAACCAGGGAGTGGCTATGTTCCCTCCACCCATTCATTCATTCCTTCATCCAGCCAACGTTCAGATCTTTTTGCTGGGCACAGGATATGGAGGTATCTGAGGCAGACCCCACCTCTGTCCTCCTGGACCTCACCTTCATTTTGTTTCCTTCTGTATCCCCCTCCCCCTGGGGGAAAGGAGGGGACAGAATCAAAGAAGGCTGGTGTAAAAGCAGGTGCCTGAAGGATGATTTGGGAAAGACAGAAGGGCACTCCGGGTGGAGGAAACGGTAGGTGCAAGAGCTAGGCGGTCTGAGAGTGCCTGAATATATTCCCTTTCCCTTCTCTCTCTCTGTTTCCACCTCTGCCTTAGTACATCCCGCTGCGGGCCTGGCTCTACCGGGATGGCTTTGCCCGATTCTCCAACACCCGCTTCACGCTGAACAGCATTGATGACCAGTGTATCCTGGGATCCTGCCGAACCTCCCCCAACACACCTACCCCTTCCCACACTCTGGCCGGTCGCAAGTGAACTCCTTTGTCCCACAGATGTTTGCTGAGTGCCTGCTGTGGTCTGGGCACAGGAGACAATGTATGAGACAGGTCTGGTCCCTTCCCTCCGGGAGCTTCCAGTCTTGTGGGGGTGATTCCGTGGGAGAGGCCAACTCTGCTTAGCGCAGCGCACCACAAACTGCTCTGCCTAATGATAGTTTTGGTGCTATGCCTAACATTCACATTTACTTATATTCCTAGGGTCGGACAGTTTTAGCCCTTTGGAGAACACTGTATATGCCTGTTTCTTCGGTGCCTAGTCATTTGCTCACTCATTCATTCAAGCACAATGCTATTTTCACCCATCCGATTGGCAAAGACCAAAAGTTTGATAACACGCTGTCCTGGCGAGGCTGGGAGAATACATATGTTGCTGGCGGGTTTGTAAATTGATTGGTATGACTCCTTTGAAGACAATCTGGCAAACATCTGTTAAAAGACAAATGCACCTACCCTGTGACCCAGCAATTCCCCTTCTGGGATTTTATCGTCTTACAAGTACATCTGCAGTATGAGACAAGACAGGCTTCAAGGTTATTCACTGCACAGCCTTGTCTGTGAGAGAAAAAAATAGGGAACAATGAAATGAATGGCTCCTTTATACAGTGGAATACTATGAAGCTGTTAAAAAGGAATGGGGAAAGTGCTTTATGTCCTGATATGAAACAATTTCCAAGATATATTATTAATTGGGAAAAAACAAAGTATGTCTAGAACAGTGTGAAAGTATGTTCTCGTTCATGTTAAAAATTATATCTGGCCAGATGTGGTGGCTCACACCTGTAATTCCAGCACTTTGGAGGCTGAGGCAGAAGGATCACTTGAAGCCAGGAGTTCAAGACCAGCCTGGGCAACATAGTGGGATCCTGTCTCTATGAAAAAAATAAAAATAAACTAGCCAGATGTGGTGTCACATGCCTGTACTCCCAGCTACTCAGGAGGCTGAGGTGGGAGGATCACTTGAGCCCAGGAGTTCGAGGCTGCAGTGAGCTGTGATTTTGCCCCCGTATGCCAGTCAGGGTGACAGAGCATAGACCCTGTCTCAAAAAAAAATTCTCTCTCTCTCTATATATATATGTTTGCTTATCTGTACATAGACATCTCTGGAAGAACAGACAAGAAGCTGGGTGCAGTGGCTCACACCTGTAATGCCAGCACTTTGGGAGGCCAAGGCAGGTGGATCACCTGAGGCTAGGAGTTGGAGACCAGCCTGGCCAACATGGTGAAACCCCATTTCCACTAAAAATACAAAATTAGTTGGCATTGTGGCACCTGCCTGTAATTCCAGCTACTAGGGAGGCTGAGGCATGAGAATCCCTTGAACCTGGGAGGCAGAGTTTGCAGTGAGCCAAGATCACACCATTGCGCTCCAGCCTGGGTGACAAGAGCAAGACTGTCTCAAAAAAAAAGAAGCTGGAAATAGATGTAGCCTTTGGGAAGAGAAATGTGAGTGGAGACAGAGGTAGAAAGGAGATGTTTCCTTACATACATTGTGTGCATTTTAACTTTTGAGCAATGTGAATGTATTATCTGGTCATAATAAACACATCAAAAGAAGATCTTTAGGCCTGAGCCTCAGAAGAAAAGAGGTAGAGAATCCAGCAATATTTAGGAGGCAAGTGGGCAGGACCAGATGACCTGCACGTGGGAAAGTTGGAAAGGGGTGACGCTACCCAGCTTCGGGTGTGGGCAACCTAGCCAATGCTTTTAGCCCATGTGCATCTCTCTGCGTTAATTTTCCCATTCAGTTGAGTGCGTGTCCAAGGTGATGCATGTGCATTGCCTGCATGTGAGACTGGGATTAGACCTTTCTGAGTATTTTTTGCAATTTGTTTTTTTCTATTTTGCCAACGTCAGCACTTCCAGTACATTCATTTTATTTTGTAATTCTAACAAGCATTTATCATACGCAAGTCATCGAGGTTTTTTTTGTTTGTTTGTTTTTTGTTTTTTACTAAAGTTAAATAATACATGTAAAGCACTTAAAACAGTGGCTGGCCCAGAGTGACCTCTCAGTAAATGTTAGTGATCCTCCTCTCCCACTTAAAAGTGTTTGCACAGCTCTGGGCATCATGGGGACTTTTTAAACAAATCAAGCCCTCTCCCGAGGCTAGTTACTAGTTAATGAGGCTTTGCTGTTTTCACAGTGAGTAAATACACATTTTCCACCCCTTCTTTTATATTGTTTAAAATTTTTAATCTTGAAATATTAATAGAAAATAATTTCCTATAAATAGAAAACTGCAGGAAAGACTGTAACAACCCATGCATTTACCATCCAGATTTAACAGATTAATATTTTATCATATTCACATCAGATACTACATACCAAATTTTAAAATAATCTTGGATCACAAAATAATAAACATTTTCAACCTGACATTATATATAATATATATAGTTTATATATAATTATTCAAATATATATTTACATATAGTATATCTATACATATACTAAATACAAAAATATTCATTGAAACACTGCATATAATAGTGTACAGTCATCACCCTTGATCCCTTAAATCTCCCTTGAGGGATGGTGAAATGAATGATAAAGCATCTATGTGATCTTGTGCATCTATTAAAAGCAATGAGATAGGTCGAAATATCAGGACATAGAAAGGTACCTAAAACAGATGACTAAGTTAAAAACAAAATGTAAGATGGAGAACTGGTATATTCACGTTCCCATTTTTGCCTTTTTTTTTTTTTTTTGAGACGGAGTCTTGCTCTGTCGCCCAGGCTGGAGTGCAGTGGCCGGATCTCAGCTCACTGCAAGCTGTGCCTCCCGGGTTCACGCCATTCTCCTGCCTCAGCCTCCCGAGTAGCAGGGACCATAGTCGCCCGCCACCTCACCCGGTTAGTTTTTTGTATTTTTTTAGTAGAGACGGGGTTTCACCGTGTTAGCCAGGATGGTCTCGATCTCCTGACCTCGTGATCCACCCGTCTCCACCTCCCAAAGTGCTAGGATTACAGGCGTGAGCCACCGCGCCCGGCCTCATTTTTGCCTTTAAGGAAGAATGTTTCTGTTTAAGAAGAAGTATGAAAAGATGTTCATGATTCACTAATCTATCTTACTGATTGATTGATTGATTGACAGTTTCCCCCTCTATTGCCCCTGATCGAGTACAGTGGTGGGATCACCACTCTTTGCAGCCTTGAACTCCTGGGCTCAAGTGATCCTCCCATCCCAGCCTCCTGAGTAGCTGGGACCACAGGCACACGCCACTATGTCTGGCTAACTTGTTTTTTGTAGCAATGAGTTCTCGCTAGGTTGCCCAGGCTGGTCTCAAACTCCTAGGCTCAAGAGTGTGACCTTGATTCAACAGTTTGAATCCTCCCACCTTGATCTTCCAAGGTGCTGGGATTACAGGCGTGAGCCATCGTGCCCAGCCTCACTAATTTATTAACTCTGAAAACTGCAGAGTATTAGAATCAGGTCAGGAAACATTTATTTTCAACTTTATACATAACTATTATGAATTGTTTCTACAACGGATAGGCCTTACTCTAATAATAACATCATAAAACATCTAAAGGATATAGTTTTTATAAAAGTGGTATAGCTCATGAAAATCAAATCAGAAAATTCAGAAAAGTACCAAAAGGAAAAGAAACCTTCTCTAGGCACATTTTCTGGCAAAAACTACTTACTTGTTTTCCTTCTAGGCTTATTTGTAGGGAATTTTGTTGTCATTCACCGTTTATATACAAATGATCCCACTGTATAAATATAACCTTTTCTTGCACTAAACATTATCAGCAGTATTTTCCTTGTAGACTTTTTTTTTTTCTGTTACAAAAATATTCCACTGAGTAGGTTTCCTGGTTTTCTAATCCCCCATGCTGCAGGCATTCGGGAAGTATTCAGTTTCTTGCTATGGTGACACATAATGCTGCAAAGGAGCATATTTCTTCATAAATCTTTTACGGTATTTAAGATGTTTCCTTTGGATGGTGTCACAGAGGTGTAAATACTGAGTCAAGCCCATCTGGCCACATTGCTTCCCAGAAGTATCCTTTTATGTTTTTACCCTCGCTGGGTGTGGTGGCTCACGCCTGTAATCCTAGCAGTTTGGGAGGTTGAGGCAGGCAGATCGCTTGAGGTCAGGAGTTCGAGACCAGCCTGGCCAACATGGTGAAACCCTGTCTCTACTAAAAATATAAAAATTAGCCAGGCATAGTGGTGAGCGCCTGTTACTCACCCCACGGGAGGCTGAGACAGGAGAATTGCTTGAACCAGGGAGGTGGAGGTTGCAGTGAGCCAAGATTGTGCCACTGCACTCCAGCCTGGGTGACAGAACAAGACTCTGTCTCAAAAATAAATATAAATAAATAAATAAAATAAAATATGTTTACCCTCCTATTGACTGGTCCATTTCATCCCAGCTCCCCAGTCCTGGGGACAATTGTTTTAAACAGCCATTTCTGAAATGATTGGGCACATCTAGGTGAAGCAGATAGGGGCATTCATTATATGACTCTTGCAAATATTCTGTGAGTTTTGAAGTTTTCAAAATGAAAAGATGTTGTACATCCCACTGACTTGATGAGGAAGCAGAGTTTTGCCTTAAAATTAGCATTTCTTCCAATTTTCATTTTCCCCCATTTGCATGCCTTTGAAATTATGTATCTTCTATTACTAGGAACTTTGAGCTTTTTCCCAGATGGGGTCCTACCAGCTGTATTTTCTCTTTTATGTTTGTCCATATCCTTTACTTAGTACATAAACAGTCATACTTTTTACTGTTACTTCATGTGGGATTTTCACGTGACAGAAACATTAGACTATTGCATTTGCTACACATCTTTTCTGTGGTCACTGATTCTTTAATTTTTGTCTTGACATCTGTTCATTTTTATTTTCACATGCTTGACGGCTTACTTGTCCATTGGTTTTTTCTGTGATTTTTACCATCATTTCTAAACTAAGAAAAGTCTTTTTCTCCTAAAGATTTCACCATGAATCAGTTCTGTTTCTCTGTGGATTTGGTTATATGTTTACTCTGCTACTTGACCGTTGGTCCATCAAGACCTGGTTTTAGGTTCCTCTCTAGAGACGGGAGGCTCTGAGGTTTGCTGACCCATCTCCCACCCCTTTCTTTTAGCCTCTCCTCCTCCTCTGCTCCTAAGGAGGCCCACTGTCTCCTCCACAGCAGGCAAGAGCAGTGTGTGAAGTGTGAAGTTCGGGGAGCCGTGCTTCCTTCATCCGAAGAGAGCTATTCGTCCTCTTCAGCCAGTAACTCACTTTGCTCCAGCATCCTCTTTTCCTTTTTTTTCTTTTTTTCGAGACAGTCTTGCTCTGTTGCCCAGGCTGGAGCGCAGTGGTACAATCATGGTTCACTGCAGCCTCCATCTCCTGGGCTGAAGCGATCCTCCTACCTCAGCCTCCCTTGTAGCTGGGCCCACAGGCATGCACCACCATGCGCAGCTAATTTTAAAATTTTTTGTAGAGACTGGTCTCACTATGTTGCCCAGGCTGGTCTCAAACTCCTGGGCTCAAGTGATCCTCCTGCCTTGCCCTTCCAAAGTGCTGGGATTACAGGCATGAGCCACTGAACCTGGCCTTCTCTTTTCCTATTTTTTATAGCAGCTTTATTTGTCCATAATATCTTCATATATTGAGATATATATTGAGCTTTATTGAGATATAATTCACATATCATACAATTTACCCAGTGAAAGCATGCAATGAAATGCCTTATCATATCCACACAACCATTACCACAATCAGTTTTAGAAAATTTTTTTTTTTTTTGAATCAGGGTCTCCCTATATTGTTCAGGCTGGTCTCGAACTCATGGGCTCAAATGATCCTCCCACTTCACCCTCCTGAGTAGAGGATACTATAGGTGTGAGCCACCATGCCCAGCTTTTTAGAATATTTTTATCCTCTCCCCAAAGAAATTCCATACCCATTAGCCATCATCCCCTATTCCTCCCTAGACTCCCCTCCCAGGCCTTTGCAGCCACTTCCTGTCTCTATGGATTTGCCTATTTTGGACATTTCATATAGATGGAATCATACACTATGCAGTCTTTTGTGTCTGAGTTCTTTCACTTGGCTTGTTTCTAAGGTTCTTCTATGTTGTAGCATGGATCAGTACTTCATATTTCTTTTTGGTTTTTGTTTGTTTGTGACCAAGTTTTGCTCCTGTTGCCCAGGCTGGAGTGCAGTGGCGCCATCTCAGCTTACTGCAACCTGTGCCTCCTGGGTTGAAATGATTCTCCTGCCTCAGCCTCCCAAGTTGCTGGGATTACAGGTGCCTGCCACCATGCCCGGCTAATTTTTTTTGTATTTTTAGTAGAGATGAGGTTTCATCATGTTGGCCAGGCTGGTCTTGAACTCCTGACCTCGGGTGATCCGCCCATCTCAGCCCCCCAAAGTGCTGGGATTACAGGTGTGAGCCACCGCGCCTGGCCTTTCATATTTCTTTATTGCCAAATATTCCTTGTATAAATATATCACATTCAGTAAAATGGGTATACCATTTTATCCATTGTTGGCACTGGAGTTGTTTCTGCTTTTTGGCTATTATGAAAAATGCTGCTATAAAAATTTCATGTACAAGTTTTTGTGTGGACATATGTTTTCATTTCTTTTTCTTTTTCGAGACAGTGTCTCGGTCCCCCAGACTGGAGTGCAATGGTGCCATCTCGGCTCACTGCAACCTCTGCCTCCCAGGTTCAAGCGATTCTCGTGCCTCAGTCTCCTGAGTAGCTGGGACTACAGGCGTGCGCCACCATGCCTGACTTAGTTTTTGTATTTTTAGTAGAGATGAGGTTTCACCATGTTGGCCAGGCTGGTCGCAAACTCCTGACCTCAAGTGATCTGCTCACCTCGGCCTCCCAAAGTGCTGGGATTACAGGCATGAGCTACCTCACCCAGCCTATTTCGTTTCTCTTGAGTATGTATCTAGGAGTGGAATTGCTGCACATAATAATTCCATGTTTAACTTTTGAGGAACCTGTAAACTGTTTTCCAAGGTGCTGCACGATTGTACATGTCCACTAGCATTGTTTGAGGGTTCCAATTTCTTTATATCCTCGTCAACACTTGTTACTTTGTATTTTTTTTTTTTTTTTTTTTTTGAGACGGAGTCTCGCTCTGTCCCCCAGGCTGGAGTGCTGTGGCTGGATCTCAGCTCACTGCAAGCTCCGCCTCCCGGGTTCCCGCCATTCTCCTGCCTCAGCCTCCCGAGTAGCTGGGACTACAGGCAGCCGCCACCTCGCCCGGCTAGTTTTTTGTTTTTTTTAGTAGAGACGGGGTTTCACCGTGTTAGCCAGGATGGTCTCGATCTCCTGACCTCGTGATCCACCTGTCTCGGCCTCCCAAAGTGCTGGGATTACAGGCTTGAGCCACCGCGCCCGGCCTATTTTGTATTTTTTGAGACAAATTCTTGCTCTGTTGCCCAGGCTGGAGTGCAGTGGTGTGATCTTGGCTCACTGCAGCCTCGACTTCCCAGGCTCAAGTGATCCTCCCGCCTGAGCCCCTCAAGTAGCTGGGACTATAGATGCTCGCTTCCATGCCTGGCTAATTTTTGTATTTTGTGTACATACAGGGTTTCACCATGTTGCCTAGGCTGGTCTTGAACTCCTGGACTCAAGTGATCTGCCTGTCTTGGCCTCCCAAAGTGCTAGGATTACAGGCGTGGCCATCATGCCTGGCCAGTACTTGCTATTATCTGTCCTTTTCATTATAGCCATTCTAGTGGATGTGCAGTGGTTTTGATTGGCATTTCCCTGATGACTAATGATACTGAGTACCTTTTATGTGCTTGTGACCACTTATAAATCTATTCAAATCCTTTGCCCATTCTTAAATTGGATTATCTTTTTAGTGTTGAGTTATAAGAATCCTGTATGTATTCTGGATACTAGTCCCTTATTAGATACATTATTTGCAAATATTTTTTCTCATTCTGTGAGTTTTCTTTCATTTTTTTCCATAATTCCCATTGAAGCACAGAAGTTTTAAATGTTGATAAAGTTGAATTTATCTATTTTTTATTTTGTCATCTGTGCTTTTGGTGTCCTATCTAAGAGGACCTGCCTACTCAAGGTCACAATGACTCATTCCTCTATTTTTCTCTATGAATTTCATAGTTTTGCCTCTTATATTTAGGTCTGTGGTCCATTTAAAATTAATTTTTGGGCTGGATGTGGTGACTCATGCCTGTAATCCCAGCACTTTGGGAGGCCAAGGCAGGCAGATCACCTGAGGTCAGGAGTTTCAGACCAGCCTGGCCAACATGGTAAAACCCCTGCCTCTACTAAAAATACAAAAACTAGCCGGGCATTGTGGCACACGCCTGTACTCCCAGCCACTTGGGAGGCTTAGGCAGGAGAATCGCTTGAACCCGGGAGGCAGCAGTTGCAGTGAGTTGAGATGGTGCCACGGCACTCCAGCCTGGGCAACAGACTACGTCTCAAAATAAACAGACAAACAAATACAAGGAGGTTTGAGGAAGCCATCCTGCTTAGCTGTGGGGGGAAGATGTTAAGGAAGGAGTATTCTGAATGGTGGTCACTTAACTTCTCTGAGCCTCCAAGGTCTCATCTGTGAGACGGGAATAATTTGGGGAACAAGTGAGATGCTCTGTAAGCTGCAAAGTGCTGCTGATGTCACTGGTGGTGATGATGGTGATGGTACTGAGAGGCCAAATCTCCGGGCTGGGTCTTCCAAGGCCACCCTGACCCTATCCCAGTGCTGGATCCCTTTGCCAATATTCCTACAAAGTGGCGGCCCAGCCTGGACCCCTCTAGTGACAGACAGCCTAGTGTGTCCTGAGATGGTTGTTCTGTATTTAGTTCCTTTACTTGTTAGAACCACTCCTCTTGATTTAAAAAAAAAAAAAAAAGATTAAAAAAAAGAAAAGAAAAACCGTAGTATAATATCAGCTATGCCAGGCACTGGAAGAGGCACAGTATTTAACCTTTTGAAAAATCCTGTGAGGTCAATATACTACTAAGTACCCCCATTAAAAGGTGGGGAAATAGGCCCAGGGAAGTGAAATGGCTTTTCAGGAGCCCACAGTCAGGAAAGATGCAGGCAGGATTTGAACCCAGGCCCAACTGACTCCAAAGCCCACACACACGACCGTGGAGCTATTTCGTAGCTTTCCCCATCAATTCCCAAGCAAGGTCTCAGTTCAGTCCTGGGGACTTCGGGGGGCAGGGCTCGCCCTTTTTGTTCACACTGACCCTTGACTACCACCCTTTCCCAGATGTTCACCTCACCAACGTCGCTGTGCAAAAAACATCTCCCGACTACCACCCAAAGAAGGTGAGGAAGCCAGGCGTGGCTCTGCACGGGGGCAGCCCTCTAGGGCCGGGTCGGGGTAGGGAGGGTGGAGTGGCAAGGAGCCCAGGATAGGCCTGTCTGAGCCTGTGTTCACCAGTGAGGCAGGCCTGCCCATCCCACTTGCAGGGCTCAGGGCAGGACTACAAATGGAGGCCTACATATCATGTGTCTAAGTATTTAAAAGTTGTAATCACACTAACACACCCCTAAACAAAAAATGTCCTATTCCCCTACCTTGACAGATATCTTCTATTGGTCAATGGATTAATCGATTAATGTAATGTACCATACAGATATATTTTATCTCTATCTATGTAAAATAACCTGCAAGGCCAGGTTCAAATACAGAATTCTCAGACTTCTCAAAGTCAAGGGCCAGACCAAGGGGACACAGGAGAGCAGGTCCCCAGCTCACACCTGTTCCCTTCTCTCCCTCCCCTGGCTCCATCCCACACAGTGGGGCCCTTGTGCATACACACCCCTGAAAACGGCAGCCTGTTGGTCACTCCTTGGCCTTGGGATGCACACATGGTCAGTGTGGTCTGTCCTCAGCAAGTCAGGCTCAGGGAAGGGGCCTACGCAGGCCGTGTGGGTAGGGACTTCTGGGATCCTGCATAGCCAGTCCTCTTAGACATGAAGAATTTTTTCCCCCGAAAGAGGGGCACACCTGGGGTCATCCTAATTACAGGGCTCAGGGCTGGGCCCCTCTTGCCCAGGTCTAAGGGAAACACTGAAGGCAATTGTGTAAGGGTCCTACCAGGCCAGATCCTGACTAACTGAGGCTCCTCTCTCAACCTGGCTGCCCGGGGCCCAGGGCTGCAAGTGGATGCTGCAGCGCTTCCGGCAGTACCTGGCATCCAAACACGGGCCCGAGGTGGTGGAGACGCTCTTCAGGGACATCGACAACATCTTTGTCAAAAGCCTGCAGAGTGTGCAGAAGGTGATCATCAGTGACAAGCACTGCTTCGAGCTGTACGGCTACGACATCCTCATCGACCAGGACCTCAAGCCGTAAGTGGGTGGGTGGGAGAGCCAGGAGGTCACAGTTTGAATACCCAGACTGCCCAGGTTTGAATCCCAGCTCTGCCAATTCCTAGTTGTATAACCTTGTGCACACTTACGTTTTCTGTGCTTCAATTTGCCCATTTGTAAATGAGGTTGGTCATGACAGGATCTATCCATAGGTCATTATAGGAACATTATGAGGAATAAGTGAGATATAGTCTGTAGAGCACCGAGGACCAAGCCTGGCACTGGGAGGCCTTTCCTGATCATCTGCTGAGTCAGGAATTCTCCCCTATACCAGGCAAGAAACTTCCCCTCTGTAAGTCTTGGAGCTTTGAAGATGCAAAGCACCATATAATGGAATATTGTTACAATGTCGATCTTTGCCAAGACTTTGATCCACTCCCAAGATGCCGGTGGAAGAGGTTGAGCTGATGAATAGAACAAACCAGACCTGGCAGGGACCACTATGATGGCCTCACATGATGCAACAGGACACAGAAGCCTAGTGAGGGTCAGGGAGCTTGAGGTTATGTAGCCAGTCAAGGGCAAAGCCAGGCCCAGGGTCTAAGGACTTGGACTGAGCTGCTCCTCACCAGCACTGCCAGATCCAGGAGCCAACCCTCTATTCAGGGTCACCATGTAAGTGCTGAGGGGTTTTCTAAGCCAGGAGAAGCCCTCGCTCAAGGGAAACAGGGTCCCGGCACCAGCAGGACTCTCTCCTTTGTCCCCTGTAGCAGGATGTGACTGCTGGCATTAAGGTGGACCTGGGGGAGGAATAAGCTCTGGTCGGTGCTTGGACACCAGCTACTGCAGGAAGCACTGGAGCATCCACTTGCAGCCCTGGGGCCTGGGTAGTCAGGTTGGGGGAGGGACCCTCAGTTAATCACCACCTGGCCTGCTGAGACCCCCTAAACAATGACCCTCAGCACTGCCCTTAGGCCTGGACAAGAGGGGTCCAGCCCTGAGTGTTGTGGTTAGGATGACTCCGGCTGTGCCCCTCCGTGTGGGCAAAAACTCTGCAGGTCCAAGAAGACTGGCTGCATAGGACCCCAGGTGGCTAAGTCACCCCTCAAAGCCTCAGTTTCCTCATTTGTAAAATGGGAAACACCATGTCTACCTCTCCAAGTTGTTAGAGTAATTTACCAAGATAATTTGCTGTATAGTGGAAAGGGACTTGGTCTCCCACAGACCTGCCAGGTGAGCCCTTCCCTCTCTGGGCTCCAGCTTCCTGTCTGTAAAAGGATGGGGTTGAACAAGACAAGAGGTGGTTAGCGGGAGGTCTTTGGGCTGCTTTTGGCCTGCAGATACTTGGAATTTGGCCTTTAGACTGTTTTTGTTTTTAATTTTAATTTATTGACAGGCTCTAAAATTTGGAAGATGTTTACATAAAAATCAGAATTACCAAGTACAGTGGCTCAAGCACCTATAATAATAATACCAACTACTCAGGAGGCTGAGGCAGGAGGATGACTTGAGGCCAGGAATTCAAGGCTGCAAAGAGCTAAGATTGCACCACTGCTCTCTAGCCTGAGTGATAGAGCCAGATCCTGACTCTTAAAAAAAAAAAAAAAAAAAAATTCACAATTTTTGGCTTTTCTGGAAAAATCAGATGATCTCTCAATTCTGGACTCACATGCCCACAAGGCAACACTCTCCTGGAGCTGGCCACAGCCACCCCTTTAGACATGGAATGCCCTTTCCAGCTCACCACAGTCTCCACCTCTCCCCACTGCTTCCCAACCCCTGACACAGCAGGTTGGGTGCCACCTACAGTGCGCAAATTTTCACTAAGAAAGGGAAGTTTTTCTTGCATTCACGTCTCTGTTGGAAGAAGGGAAAACAATAACACCACGAAAGCACCATAATCATGCCTATGCCAGCTTTCTACATTTAAGTTACCTTTCTTCAAAGTGGAAAGGTGGTTCATGCCTGTAATCCTAGCACTTTGGGAGGCCGAGGTGGGCGGATCACCTGAGGTCAGGAATTTGAGACCAGCTTGACCAATATGGTGAAACCCTGTCTCTACTAAAAATACAAAAAAAAAAAAAAATAGCTGGGCATGGTGGCGGGCACCTGTAATCCCAGCTACTCTGGAGGCTGAGGCAGGAGAATCGCTTGAACCTGGGAGGCAGAGGTTGCAGTGAGCTGAGATCATGCGATTGCACTCCAGCCTGGGCGACAAGAGCAAAACTCCCTCTCTAGAGAAAAAAAAAAAAAAAAAGGCAGGGGGGTAGGAGGGAGCTGGGCACAGTGGCTCCTATCTGTAATCCCAGTACTTTGGGAGGCTGAGGCAGGAGGATCACTTGAGGCCAGGAGTTTGAGACTAGCCTGGGCAACCTAGCAAGACCCTATCTCTATAAAAATAATTTAAAAAAATAGAAAGGTAGAGGGAGTAGCCTGGATTGAATTAAGGGTGGGGTCCATGCATCCATGTAGCCTCTCAGTGAAATCCTAGGGGCTCCAGGGACCGAGTAACCCTAAGACTCTCTACTCCCCTTCCTCCCCAGGTGGCTCCTGGAGGTCAATGCGTCCCCGTCACTGACAGCCAGCAGCCAGGAAGACTATGAGCTCAAGACCTGCCTTCTGGAAGACACCCTGCATGTCGTGGACATGGAAGGAAGGTGAGGGAGGGCAGCCTTGATCACATGTCCTTGTACATGACAACTGAGGCTCCCACCAAGGAAGAGGGGAAGCTTAGAACCTTGGGGCCTGAGTGGCCCTCAGTGATGGCTTTGGCCTGCCCTACCACTTTGTAGATGGAGAAGGTGAGATGTCCACAGAGGGTAGGGTCCTGACCCAAGGACTTGACCTCTCCAGGGCAGAGCAGGGCCAACTACAGCTTTCTGAGACAGTCCAGCAGGATTTCCTCGAAACCTTCTGACTGTGAGGCTTTGGACTAGTCACATCACCTTTCTGAGCCTCAGCTTCCTCATCTGCAAAATAGGAAATGCCATGTCTACCTCTCAGAGTTGTTAGATTAATTTACAACAATAATTTACTATCTAGTGCCTAGCTAACAGTAAGTGCTGAGTACAAAGCTATTGCTATAACAATGTGCAATGGCAGAAAAAAAAACCCAGAGCTACTTTTAGGAATGGGTGAATGTGTGAATCCAGGTGCTCAATGTTGGCTAGTCTGTTCCCCCTCCCCCTCCCCCTCCCTCTCTTTCCTCTGTATTAGCTTTTCCCCAATTATTCCAGCAGAAGTTTGAGGATTGATTCTCCTTGCTGGGAACTGGGACACATGACCATTCCTAAACCACTCATTGTGACTCTGCTTGACCAAGCATAGTTCTTGTGCCCACCTCCTTAGGAGTGGGGTCAACCCCACGTGAGCCATGGGATGAGGGAGGGAGAAGTGGTTCTCAAAGGAAAACCCAAGGTACTCTTGGACTGAAAGAAGGTGAAATGGATGCTGAGCAGGCAGAAACCTCAGGTATCCACTATTCCTACCATCAACAAACTTTTGAGCCCTGCTCTGTACCAGGCCCTGTGCCATATCCTGCGGACACAGTAAGGAACACGACAGAACTAGTCCCTGCCTTTATGGAGTTTAAGGTCTAAGGAGGAAAGGAGACTTTAAACCACAAATCACAAATAGAGGCACGTGGCCAGGCGCGGTGGCTCACGCCTGTAATCCCAGCACTTTGGGAGGCCGAGGCGGGCAGATCATTTGAGGTCAGGAGTTTGAGACCATCCTGGCCGACACGGTGAAACCCCATGTCTACTAAAAATACAAAAATTAACCGGGTGTGGTGGTGTGCACCTGTAGTCCCAGCTACTCGGAAGGCTGAGTCAGAAGAATCGCTTGAACCTGGAGGCAGAAGTTGCAGTGAGCCAAGATCGTGCCATTGCACTCCAGCCTGGGTGACAGAGACTCCGTCTCAAAACAAAAGCAAAAACAACAACAAAAACAAATAGGGGCACGTTATCAAGAGCAAGGAGCCTTGGGGGAAAACTGGGGAACAACCCCTCAGAGACCTGCCTAGGTACCTGGGAAACGGTCAATGAATGGTTGGGAAAAAAGGACTTCTGAGAGACGGACATCAGTCGGGCTCAGGGAGGGATCAGGGACCTCACTTGGGTGTTAGGGCCCCGCCAGGTGCACCTTCATTAACCCTGTGTGCTCCTTCCTGTCCAGGCTCACGGGAAGGGAGAAGCGAGTCGGGGGCTTTGACCTCATGTGGAATGATGGCCCTGTTAGCAGAGAGGAGGGGGTTCCTGACCTGTCGGGAATGGGAAACTTTGTGACCAACACACACCTCGGTATGTAGGGCCAGGTGGAGTGGGCACAAGGGATGGGTCATGGGAGGTACCAGGTAGTCTAGGAGGCAGGTTGGGATAGTGGTTAGATTGTTTGAATTCAATCTGCAACTTACCAGCTGTGTGACCTTGGGCAAGGGACTTAACCTCTGTTCCTCATTTTTAAATTTGGTTTCTAAAAAGTGAAAACTTCCCCTGATTATAAAAAAAGGATTCACACTCATTGTAGAATATTTGAAAACTAAAGAAAGAAATAAAAAAACATCCAGACATAACCATCTTTAACAATCTGGTGTATTTCCTTCCAGTTCTTAAAAAATGCATATATTCATACTTTTTCTTTTACAAAATTGGCATTGGGCTAGAGTTTCGAATCCCACTTTTCCCCATGGCATTTTCCATTCAAGTATATTAAGAGCCTCCCTCTTGAATGTACTTTTTGGTCCAGTCTGGATGAAATCTTTTACATACATTATCGCATTTAATCTTTAAGCAGTTTTTATTGTCATTTTACAGATGAGGAAATGATATCCAGGTGCTATGTAACTTGCTGAATGAAGGTTTTGGTCATAAGTGGTGAGCCAGGACTCAAACTCCCATCTGCCTGGCTCCAAAACCTGAGTGCTTGACCGTTAGACTTTCCTGCCTCTTGGCACAGTTTAAAAAAATTACCGTATGGCTGCAAAATATTTCAGTTTGTACATATGCCGACATTTACTAAACCAATTTCTTATAATTGGACATTTGGCACAATTGCATTTTATATTTTTTAACTTTTATAAATAATACCCTGATGAACACCCTTTCACATTAAGCTCGGCTGAAATTCTGGCCATTTCCTGAGGACAGATTCCTAGAAGCAGAATTATTGGGCCAAAGGGATGGGATTATTACAACCAAATTGCTTTCCAGAAAGATTATACGAATTTGCCAGATTTGAATTTTTAGGAAAAAAAAAAATCTGTGCCAACTGGCGAGGTAAAACATACTGACTCATTGTTGTTTTATGTGCATTCCATTGATTACTGGTGAGGTTTCCGTTTTGTAAATTTGCACTTCTTCTTTTGTAAGCTGTCTATACTCTTTATCCATTTTTCTAGGGGTTGTTTAGTTTTCTAAATGTGTAAGGCTTTGGATGACTATATAACCCTGTCCAAGCTTAATTTAATACGCATATAATCACGTGGAAATGTTGTTAAACTGTAGATTGTGACTCCATAGGTCTAGCGTGGGGCCTAAGATTGTATTTCTAACAAGCTCCTGGGTAATGCTCCATGGATTAACCATTGCTGTATAACAAGCCCTCCCAAAACCTAGCAGCTTAAAGCAACTGTTTTATTTGCTCATGCTTCCTCAGGTCCCTCCTGGGGTCACTCATAGGGCTGCAGGCACCTGGCAGATTTCCTGAGGCTTGATAGCTACGACAGCCTCATTCATAGGTGTGGGGGTTGATACTGGCTGTCAGTTGGGCCTCTCTTTCCATGTGGCCACTCGTCTTCCAATAGTCTGGCCCTGGCTTCTTCATGTGGTAGACTCGGGGTTCCAAGAGGGTGAGAAAAGACACTGCAAAGGCTTTTGTGGCCCAGACTCAGAAGTCCCATAAAGTCATTCTGCTACAATCAAAGCATGTGTTAGTCTAACCCAGTCACTGGGTAAGAAAAGAGACCCCACCTCGCCAGGCGCAGTGGCTCATGCCTGTAATCCCAACACTTTGGGAGGCCGAGGCGGGCATATCATGAGGTCAGGAGATCGAAACCATCCTGGCTAACACAGTGAAACACCGTCTCTACTAAAAAATACAAAAAAAATTAGCCGGGCGTGGTGGCGGGTGCCTGTAGTCCCAGCTACTCGGGAGGCTGAGCAGGAGAATGACGTGAACCCAGGAGGCAGAGCTTGCAGTTAGCCGAGATCGCGCCACTGCACTCCAGCCTGGGCGACACAGCGAGGCTCTGTCTCAAAAAAAGAAAAAAAAAAAAAAGAAAAAAAAGAAAATAGACCCCACCTCTTGATGAGAGGAGCAGCAGTCACCTTGCACAGAGGTGTGCATATAGGAATGGAATTGTTGCAGCCATTTTTGCTAACAGTGTACCTCAGATATCAATGCGCTAGTTCCTGGACCCCCATTTGAGTAGCAAAGATGGAAAGTGGCGGTTCTCTACCTTGGCTGCCCATTGGAATCGCCCGGGAGCTTTAAAGACTACTGATGTCTGCCAGATCAAGATATGGTTGGTGTGGGCATCAGTAGCTTTTAAAGCTCTCAAGTGATTCCAATATGCAGCCCAAGTTGCAAGCCACTGTTTTATATTTTAATTTTTAATTTTTTTTTTGAGACAGAGTCTCGCTCTGTCACCCAGGCTGGAGTGCAGTGGTGCGATCATAGCTCACTGTAACTAACCTCAAACTCCCAGGCTCAAGCAGTCTTCCTGCCTCAGCCTCCCAAGTAGCTAGGCCTACAGGCACACCCCATCACACCTGGCTAATTTTATTTTTGTGTGTGTGTCTTTTTCCTGTAGAGACAAAATCTTACTATGTTGACCAGGCTGGGAGAGCCAGTGCTTTAGAAGTCTCTAGAATTATTCCTGTTTCAAGTGTTTGGGTTGATGGTGGTAAACACAAGGGTAGCTGGTTAGGGTAGGAAGAGTGCTGATGAATTGTGTTAGGGAAGTGTTCAGGGACATCCAGGTGAAAGGGTCAGCAGATAACTCAGAGATGAGTCTAGAACTCCAAGAAGTTTGCACTGGACAAGAAGACTTAGGAGTTATGAATGAGCCAAATAGAGTTTAAGTTAGGGCTGCATGGAACTCACTCTGGAAAACCCTGAGGATGTGCATTGTAGGCTCTCAGCTCAGGGAATGGCTAAGTGAGTGCCTAGGAAGCAGGGACAGACAGGGTTTGGGGGGATGTGGAAGATGGCAGACACTCCCAGGTCAGTACTAGTGGCCAGAGAGATTCAGTCACTCAAGCAGCATTTTTGAGTGCCATCAATATGCCTGGCATGAGATTAAATGACCAGAGAGTTACCCCAAGGATCAGCTCTGAGAGCAAATAGCCAACATGTAGCACCATGAACGTCCTGGGAGAGACGTCTCAGCGCTCACGGCAGAAATATTTAAAAGCACAAACTGCCTGGGACTGGGGGCCACATGTATGGAAAACTCATCCCTTAGCCAGTTGTACCTGACACATGGGTTGGGTAAGGGAAGAAAGCTGACAGTACTGGGCAGCTATGAGAAGCCAGGCACTGTGCTAGCTTTAAATGCATTTTCACTGAGCAAAGCCAGGAGGAGCGGCAGTGTGGCGTAGTGGTTAAGAGTGTAGCTCTGGCACCAGGTAGTCTGGGTTCAAATGATTTAACCTCTCTGAGCCCGTTTTCGCTTCTACACATCATTCCCGTGAAGGCCAAACAAATCCATCCACATTCAGCATCTGGAGCAGTCCCTGGCTTGAGGGAAGCTCCCAATCCTCATGTTCACTCCCTAAGGTGGGCAGTAGTATCCTGGTTTACAGATGAGAAGACCGATGCTGGAAAGGGTAAATGACCTGCTTGAGGGCCATGGCAGTTCAGGAATGGAGCCAGGATGTAAACCACAGGCTGTGTGTGGTTGTCTGACTCCCGCTGTCCCCTCTTCCCAGCAGGGAGTGGGGCCACAGGCTCCTCCACTCCTCGCAAGCACAGGTCATCCCAGCCAACACCCCACTTCCTTTCCAGGCTGCGTCAACGATCGGAAAAAACAACTGAGGCAGCTCTTCTACTCCCTTCAAGTCCAGAAGAAAGCTTCCAGTTGATCCCCAGCTGCCAGGAGGAAATCAGCCTTAGCAGGTGCCACCCAGGCCTCCCCCGCACTCTCAGATCCCAGCACAGCACCTCAAAGCTCTCACCTCCCCACCTCCACCCTGGCACCAGCTTTGCTGGCTTAGCAGCTGCAGCTTACTACCTGAATTGGGCCGCTTGGATACCTCCAGCCCATCCCCAGGCATCTTTGCACCAGGAGACGCCAATCCCTAGGACTGGGGGGTGTTTTAACCTTGACAAACTGACTTGGCAATTAGGCCCAAAGAGAACAAATACAGCAAGTTCTGCTACCCCCAAGAGATCATATCTAATAAATGAGCACAGGCCCTACTTGGAGTCACTGGGCACCAGGCCTGGTTCAGGGGATACTGTTGGCTGCAGCCAAGTCCTCCTGGCTTTGACACTTGGATGCCTCCCAAGTCAGTGCTGAAAAGGTCCTTCAGGAGCAAGGGTTTGGAGGCTAAGGAACTTGTCTTTAAGCTGTGCTTACAAAGCAAGCCGTTATTAGATTGTATTTATTGGGGGTCTGGGGAGGTACTGAGCCCTAAACACATCCTCTTCTCCTTGTAATACCCTGACCCTGCATATCGGGAACCCATGGGGCTCCCTGACCATCATCTGAAAACCAGTGGGACAGAGCATCCCCACTTCTCAGATGGACCAGACAGACCAGGGAGGCAGAGCTTAGTGAGGGTCGCTGCAAAGGTGCATTGATCTAAGTCAGATGGGTGACTTAAGTGCTTCTCTAGGCCCTGTGTTTGAGCTTCGGAGCTGAGCCAGAAACCAGAAAACCTTGGGCTCATGGGCAGGACAGCTTGGGGAGTTGAGTGTGAGTAAAAATCTCTGCATTTTCACATCTTACATTCCTAAGCCTCCTCTTGGTTTAAGAGGGGTTGCAACAAGAGTCGGGGCTGTTGGGGTAACTGCTCCAGGGGGGATTTACTCCCTCTACCACTCCGCCTGCTTCAGAGTACTTTCTCTGGCTGCAAATGGTGGAATCTGACTGCCTAGGTTAAGCCCAAAGGGAAGACTTTTGGAAGGAAAATACTGGCAAATCCAAGAAGTGAACCCGCTGACTTTAGGAAAGCCAGAAGCCAAGCTACTCTGGACCTTCTGCCTTCAGAGCATGAGGACTTCTCCCATTCATCCTTGTGACTGAGGCAAACACAGACAGGTCCAGGCATGGGCTCCAGGTTCCCTATTTCCAGAAGGAATGCGATTGGCTCTTTTTGGCCCAGCACCCACCCTGCAAGGGAGGAAGGGGCAATTTTCCAATGGTGAAATTGTGAATCAGGCAGTCATACTGGAGAACATCTAGCAAGGTGAATTCTGCAACTCCCTACTTTATTTACATTTAAAAATAAGTAATATATTCATGTGGTTTAAAATCCAAAGTTTACCAATGGGTATAGGGTGACATCTCCTTCCCTCCCACCTCTGTGCCCCAACCCTGCAGGTGCTGTTTTGAGGGAATGACATTGTATTTGCACACACACATTATTAGCTTATAAGACACCTGCCTTCCCCTTGCTTTTCCCACTTGATGTATCTTGGAGCTTGTTCCTTATTCTTGATTATAGTTGTATGGTATTGCACTATCTGGAGCTACTGATTCCTTTAACTAGTCCCCTGTGGATGGACAGTTTGTTTCCAATTCCACCTGCCTACTTCTTAAGAGATCACAGGGAAAACACATAGTAATTTCTGCAAAACTCAAGAGGATTCAAAACTGTAGGTCTGGGCCAAGTTTGCTTGGGTGGGGTAAAACACCTGTGACCCACAATCACGGTGTTTTTTTTTTTTTTTTTAGAGCCGGATCCTCGCTCTGTCCGCCCAGGCTGGAGTGCAGTGGCCGGATCTCAGCTCACTGCAAGCTCCGCCTTCCCAGGTTCACACCATTCCTTGCCTCAGCCTCCCGAGTAGCTGGGCTACAGCGCCTGCCCAGCCGGCGCCCGCTAGTTTTTTGTATTTGTTGTTAGTGAGACGGGGTTTCACCATGTTAGCGCAGGATGTCGTCTCGATCTCCTGACCTCGTGATCCGCCGTCTCGGCCCTCCCAAGTGCTGCGGATTACAGCCTTGAGCCACCGCGCCGGCCCACAATCACGTTTTAAAACAGTTTCTGCATTAGTCAAAAATATTTAAAAGACAGGAGATTCAACTTCACAACCCAAACGTCTAGCTCTCTTGAAAAAACGTTGCGGGACACGGTGGCTCAAGCCTGTAATCCCAGCACTTTGGGAGGCCGAGACGGGTGGATCACGAGGTCAGGAGATCGAGACCATCCTGGCTAACACGGTGAAACCCTGTCTCTACTAAAAAAGTACAAAAAACTAGCCGGGCGAGTGGCCGGCGCCCTGGTAGTCCAGCTAGCTCGGGAGGCAGAGGCAGCGAGAATACGTGAAACCCGGGAGCGGACGCTGGCAGTGAGCTGAGAGTCCGGCCACTGGCACCTCCAGCTGGGCGACAGAGTGAGACTCCTTCCAAAAAAAAAGAAAAAAACGTTAAGAACTGGCCATGACAGCCTGTGTTTCTATGTAACTATGAGCCAGAGCCAAGAAGCAGGGGGACCAGGAGAGGTGTGCCCCTGCCATGCTGCCATTTGTTGTCACCTGCCTATCACAGGTTCATTTCAAGGCAAGAACCATGTTCATAGGTGGTATTCTAAATGGAGCGGCGTGCCCTCACTGAAGGACTAGATGAGGTAAATAAAGACTAGTTGCTGCTATTCATTCATTCAACTAACATTTATTGAGCCCTTAATGAACACAAGAGTTTTGACTTCATGACAGTTCATACTGGGACCTCAGACCACTGAAGGCAGACAGTAACGAGCAGTGCTGGCCAGGCCCCACTTTCAGAGGGGGCGGAAGGGCACTCTTGACACATGTCACATATGGTAAGAGGTGCACCCACTCACCCAGGCCTGGTGCAGGACTCTGCAAGGCCCTCCTGAGTAAAGAGCGGCCACAAAGGGCTGCTAGGCAGCACCCACTCTTGGAAACAAGCAGGGAAAAAGCGCAAAAATGGAGCTGGCAGGGAGGTGTGTATGTGCCTGCCCCACAGATGGCTGTGGTGAGCCACAACGCACCAAGATTCTGTTCTTCATTCAGCAACCACCCATGAGCCTCCTGGTTTATTCCAATCCCATGGCACCTGCCTGAAA